CTCTCCCACGAATCTGGAGCATCCCATTCTGTATAATAAGGATCGAAGGAATGATGCAAAACCTCTTGGGCAAAGGGATGGAAACGCCGCGAGACCAGACATAGATGGCACAGAGTTGTCTTATCTTCAGCTCTCTTGGAGTCCGGCGGGGTCCCAAAAGGCCACTGGTACTCGTTGCAGCAGTGAGGACAGAAATATTCAAATATAAAGCGCAAGACCTCGGCAGGGAGTTTTGAGAAGTAGTCCGTTGTGGCCTTTTGGAGTCGAGTTCTGACCATCTTTGTAAGGCTGAGGTCAGGCGAGAAGTTAGGGCCCTATATCTCGATGACAAAGAGACTTTGGTCAACTTACGTGAAAATTCACTAGCTCTTAGACTAGATAGCTATTTCTGGGGCCTAAACTTGTAGAATGAAGTTTTCTTGATTCTTGAGGAGGGCGGGTTGTGAAAGGAGAAAGGGAAATGTTGGGTGACGGTGGGTGGAAGCTGGAATAAAAGAAGCGGGCGGAGGCTAATTAAGGTTACAGGGCGATTAGCTTCTGTAGGGCTGTCTCCCTGTAATTGGCACAGACTCCAATTGAAACGCCCCCGGCCAAAGTCTGTTGAAGAAAGGGCCGGGGGCAGTTTTGCTAACACCACTGTCATCGTGAAAGCTTCTGGGTCAAAGCTTATATTGGGGAAAAAGAAAAACACCGTGTTCTCATTCATCATCTGTGTTTGCAGCCTAAAGGTTAACCTTATAGGCCGCAGTCAAGCCATACTGCTCACACCACTGATGTTTTAGTTGTTGGTTGTTCGATATGGCACTTATGATCCTTGCTTCAGGCACAGGCAGCTGGTTATAAAATGAAAAGAAATGGTTTAATTGGGCAAGCAGTCCATCAATCTATTGATAGGCACAGAACTGACAAGAATATGACCTTTTACCATGGAAAGACCTTGATCGGCTCAAGACAAGCAGCTCTGCTGCTCATTGAAACCACTATTTACGACACTACCCCCAACACACCTCACTTTATACCGTGTCGACCTCATATACCGGAGTCTAGCTTGTACCGAACACAACCGACATCTTCTGAACCTCCCACACCACCGTTGTCACCTGTGAAATATATTAGAACTCCGAAGCATACTGTATCGATCTTGTTCTATACTCACAACCAAACCAAGCATCTATGAGGACCATAACGCAGCGCATAACGCCTCTCGACAGTAACCCTTCGTCGAGCGGGTCCAAGACGCTGACCTTCTCGTTCTTCATACTGCACCCGTCGATCCAAGACCAAGTCACACGGTGCTTGTGACTGTCAGTGTCCTTGAATTCCTTCACATACGGTTCCGATTCAGATGTCATGTATAAATTCTCTTTGTCGGAGTGTGTGCACGCGTCAAAGATCACGTCATAAGCAGCGCCGCTTGAAATGTCGACATGGCCCCGAAAGTCGTCCTCGTTATTGCACTGAAGATTCTGGATCTCGAACTTTACGTCCGTCGTTGTGGGCTTTGGATCTGCTGTCTTTGTCTTGGCCTGGGAAGTCGCCGAGGGTAGCGTGGTGCTGGCAGAGTCAGCTTTCTTGGAGACGCGATAGCTGTAGGTGCCGCAGCCTATGTCTATGCTCCCTTTTTTAGCCAACCCAGCAAAGTAAAGTGACCTGTGACACTGGCTTTGAAGCTGCGAGTATGCTTTGGAGCAAGAGAGGTCGCAGGAACCATCGCTGCCAGTCCATTCAAAGTCGAATTCATGCGACGAGCATTTCGACTTTCGACGCCGAAGGCTTCTTCTCTCTGCACCAGTGGCGACGACCCTCTTGGCGTCTCCAACAACATCCTCGTAAGTGAGTTTTCTTGAGACTGCCTCGTTATTGTCCCCTTCTACGGTATCACAGAAGGAGGCCGCAAACAACTCCATGCATTCGGCATCAGCTCCATAGGCATACATATCGCATGAAGGCTTAGGTGGCTCAGCCTCCGTGCTGTTGCTGGATATGCCCCATTTCTTGAACATTTCAGCAAAGTACTTCACGGTGTCTTCCTCCATGGGGCCTAGATCAACATCCTCCCTTCCGAAGTCATGTTTCTCCAACACGCCGGTAATGCGAGGGACATCAGAGGCGACCGTAGTGGTTGTTGTGCTTTGTTCACCGGAAACGCATCCTGTGACTGGGGCACAACTACCGATACGGGTGCTGCAAGAAGTAATCGTCAGCCGGATACAAATGCATGTTCGAGAAGGTAGTGAGTTCCTTACCTTGTTCTCTCGCCGTCTTCGCCTGTGTAATATGAGAGAGTCAAAGTGCACTTTGGTGGAGCTGTAGTAGTGCACCCCTCTTCCTCGTCATCATCATCATCGTCCTCGTCTTTATCATCATCCTCGGGGTCATCCTTACCTTTGTCTATTGGTTTGGGATCACCGGTCGGCAGTGGTCCACCCTTGAGACCGTCAAGTCGGGACCACCACCAACCTCCAGGGAATATGGGGACAATAGCTCCATCATCATCAGTCTGAGTTATTGTTTTGGTGTTGTCTATATGCTCAGGGTCTCGAACTGCACTCCAAGTAACGACTTCGTCATCAGAGCCTGTAACTGTCGCTTGTTCCCCTTCTGTTTCCGTTACAGGAGCAGCTGTCACAGGCGGCCCATCACCCTCGGCAGTTGATTTTGGACCCGCGGGTCCTGAAGTAACCTGCGGGGGCCCAGGAACGTCCTGGGTCACAGTGCTTTCACCCTCTGAAGGAGCTTGGGTCTGTGAAACGGCGGGCTGAGATTCCTCATCAATGGGTGATGGGTTCTCATCTTGGCCGGTAGGTGTTGCAGCAGATGAAGCATTGCCGTCGACATCACCAGGACTCTTGGTCTTTGAAGAGCCCGACTCAGCTGCATCTGGATCGTCATCGGGGGTTGGCTCATCATTCCCAGGAATGTCTGCCAAAGAAGTTGCTGACTTTCCAGGCAATGGTATAACAGGTCTTGGGGGACCGTGGGTAACAAACACAAGCGACGTGCTCGCAGGATCTTCAGGTGGAAGAGGAGCGTCCTGAGAAGAGATGAGACAGGGCGCAAAAGATGCCAGGGCAAGGAGTCGTAACGCCGAAGATTTCATTGTGACAAGAGAGTGTCAAAGATGAGTGAAGGTATGAAGAATGAAGAGAGAATACAAAGGAAAACGAAGTGATTGTATAGGTTTGATATCACAAGTTTCATGACAATCTATTTTAGCTGGCCAGGACTACCTGTCATGCTACTATTTACGAAAGACCGCGGAAACGGCCGTTTCCAATCATGGAGAGTATCATGCGAGGAGCGGCCCCCAAAGGTTAACAGCCCCAAAAGACATCTTGGCATGCAACAACGGATGCAAGTGAAATTAAGATCAACAAGACAGTCACTATATCCCGCAATGACGTGCCCCCTCAGACTCAATGGTTCAACTGTTTCGGACAGCATTTTCATGAATAATAGGAAGTCAAGCAGGGGTATAGGTTGTACAGCATGTGGCACAGATCTATAGATGGATCATGCTTTGGATGAAGGCCTTGGACTCGACCCATAGACAAGCAATCAGTGGGGTCTGTCTGTTTGTTGTTTTTGGGGTCCAAGAAATACAGGAAAAGGTCTTCCGGTTCGTACACTCAAGCCCCAAATTGCAAAAGTATCCAATGCATTTTGCCTTTTTTCATGAGATTATACAATCTAGTTTTATAGTGAGCTTGAAGTTCCAGGAGTATACTGATTTGAAGGTTAAACCACCAGACCAAAGGTCCCCAAAACAGAAGCCCCTGTTATAAGGTAACAGAGGAATACGGCTTATACCAATTCTCAACAACTGAATAGTAAAGATAGATCTAATCTACAGACTATTCATGGAATTACTGAGCTACCATTTGTCCTACAAGGCACGTATATTTGGCCCTGAACAGTCAGGTAGAGAATATATGGACCCCAAGTTCAGCTTTGTTCTCATTCAGAACCCCTGACGATGTGCATATGCTGAGCCAACCCGCAGGCTACGCAGTCTATACTTAACCTTGTCTTCCAAGACTCGGGCCGCCCCCAATATTCCGAACACTACCGTTTCATCGCGTGCTTATCGTTAGGCAGCTGAATAGCTAGTAATTAAAACATGCGGTTCCGATTGGCTTCAAGTTACTTCAGTCACTTCAGGATTGTTCAACAACCAGCAGCCAAGTCTGACATACAGCCGTCATCCAATCATTTCCAATTCTTGTGTTTCATGGAAATAAATGTTGACTATCCGTATATCATGATTTAATTCAAAAATCCCTCATTCGATTAAGCCTTGTTTATGCGACAAGGGTTGACTGTTGGGATGCTTGAATGTCCTTTTGCTTTCAAGGTAGGGACGGCAATTTCTTATTAGAGACTGAACTAATTATAAACCTGTATGTCATGACAAGTCCTTGAATGGAATTGATATATGTTAGACCCACTGATATTTCTACTGTCTATTAATCCTTATATCTTCAAAGCCCTCGGTTATCAGCTTTCTCAGGATCTCTACACCCAACTCATAAATCCGTCTTTCCTAGGAACTTTGTCCTTCAGGCCTATCATGATGAGGCTTTCATCGGCGCTTCTCCTTTACTTGGCTACCTCGGCGATTGCTGCTAAGCCCAAGCTCTCTGACTCATGGGAGATTGATGACAGTTGCGATGCTCCAAGGCTTGAGAAGCTCGAAGACGCCCATTCAGAAATCGTCGAGCTTCTCGCCAAAGTCATAAGGGATCTAGCTCACGTGCAGCAGCCACGGCCTGCAACCCGCTGGGGAAAGTCCAACTGGAATCGCATCTCTGGCAACCTGGCTGGCCTCTTTGGGCTTCAACCTAGCGACGCGATTATGGAGAATGGTTACGACCCAAGCGAGCAGTACTTCAGCCAAGTCCTCTGTAAGTCCAGCAAACGGAGATAGTACTCTTAAAGGCCTAACTTGGCGCTGATATAACGACTTAGATACCTACGATCGAATGTATCAAGCCCTAGTGAAAGGGAGGACCGTCCCAGAAAACGGATACTCTGGCAAATTGGGGAATCAAAACCAGCCTAGTAAGCCTCTGCTTTTGTGTGGCGATACTAGGGCCTGGGAATTCTTCGACAAAGATGCTCAAGGTAAGTATGACAAGTCCAAAACGGTTGCAGAAGTTTTCCCAGACGCGGCGAAAGCAGGTGGTGCTTTTATCCGTGCAAACCGTTATCTCGGAGCGACACCCGGTGAAACACATCCCGCCATATGCAATGGCATATACGGAATGACGCTCCAGCGCCATGACCTGATAACTATTTGTGATAATACTCTTGAATTGGACGATGAAAAGTGGCCAGTGCGCGGTAGTGGCAAAGTTGTAAACGGCACGGATCTTGATCGAGACCACTTTGGCAGGCAATCTCTCGTCCGTGTCATGCTCCATGAGTTTGCACACTACTATGGCTCGAGGGTGGAAGGGAATGAATTCAAAGGGTGTAGGTTACCATCTTGAGCAGCTCATCCAGTTCTGTGTATGCTGACGATATCTACTGCAGTGCCAGACCAGCAAGCTGTTGATACGAATGCATGTCTCTTGTGGATAGGAAGCACAGGGAAGCAAGTACGCGAGCCTACAACCGCGGGTGGACAAACCCTGCCTAGGCAGGTTGTTTGTAGGTGTTATATCACAAGAGCTTGTCATCAAGTGGCCTATCGTCATGATTCTAAAGTCTTTCACAGATAGCCTCAGATTTTGCACCAACCTCAACATTGATCAAACTGCCAACGCAAAAACAGGTAGGTACAAGGTCTTTGTATCCGAGAAACCAAACAGCTGACATCCAAAGGTAAATTCGAGAAAGACGGCGCTTTGGTGGCCGGTACGCTCGGAACCACGGGCCCATCAGTTGCCACCTGGACGGCTGAAACATATGCTTATTTTCCCATCGTCTCGTAAGTGTCGTATCCACCCTCTCCTTCTATGGCTCTGATGGGAATCTTTGCAGGTATCTAGATAAGTGGGAATGGGTGAAAACAGGGAAGGCTAGACCACTTCTAACGGCTTAGTGAAATGGTAGAGTGTTATTATCTATGGTGAGGCTGGTAGAGTCAATAGCTCTATTGCCTAGGTATGAGGCTCCCGATCGTCCTTGCAAAAGATCCTTTACAAGGCTATTGACACCGGTTGGAAGTTTTTCAACCTCTGGCAGAGCCGAAAGACTTGCACTGATGTACTGTCTCAGGGCGTCGACTCGAAAAGGCGCATCTAAGTTGACCCCCAGATATTGACTCATGAGATCTTCCAAAGCTGGCGGGGCAACGCGGCTTAAGATGGCGAATTTGATCGGAAGGCCGGGAATATCAAGCTTGATCTTCTTCAAGATAAGATCCAATGATCTTGATTCGCATTCATCAAGGCCATCAAGGACACCGACAACTCGACAGCCTTTTAGATCTTGGAGTATCTCGATGAACATATACCAGAGAAATTGGAACCGTGTCTTCCACCACTGATTGCCATGTTTACCATCCTTATCTAGCTGAACAAGCTGATATATCAGGCTCCGAACTAAACAAGCAGCGTTATTTCGTAATTCAAGTCTGGCATCAAAGAAATAATAGAGTAGAATCTCGTCGGAAGCCATCGTGAGCTGTAACTGCTCAGTGAGATAGACTGCTAGCAGAGTTTTGCCAGACCCTATACCCCCTGATATCCATAGAAGGTTATCATCAGAGGTTCTCCATTTGATGAACTCGGGCGTATGAAGAACCCAGTCGCACGTCCCTTGAACGGTTTCGCCTTTTGTGGTCTTGATAACGTCACGATCGGTGGCTGGATCCGCTGCAAAAGGGTTTCGGATAATCTTTGCAGAGGCAACCTCAACATTGGGTTCTTCATTGCCTTGTCTGCTCGTGGTAGAAAAGTAAACGTGTCAACTTTGCTGAGGTCCCTGTTGGGACTTTCAGCAATCTGACAGTGAATGAGATTGATTAGGAACCCACAGCATTATGGTATTGATTTCTGCATTTATCTCGACAAATATTCTGTCGATATCCTTCCTCCTCTGTAACCCAAATTTGGTTCCCCAACCATGGTTCTCATTGCCCTCAAGTCTCACTTTACCCAATAGGTCGACCAGCTTACCGGCGAGAATATTACATTGATGCCAGCTGCGACCAACCTGATCGCGCCACTAATATACCGGTATCGGAACAAGCCTCACGATCTCTTCGAGAGTATCCAAATACTTCAGCTGAGCTTGTGCAGGGTAATTCTCTGGGCACCCAAAGACCGATAATATTAGTGCGTGGATGTCGAGGTTGAGTTCAATGAACCTCTCGCCCTCGATTTCGGCATCGAATTCCGTTTTGGACGGCATTGTAAGAAGATCAGTAACGAATTTGGACCTTGAAGGAGGCTAGAGGGAGCCATGGGCTAAATAGTCAACCTGAAACGGCGGCTGCCAAGGGTATTCCTTGTCTGTGCTGCTGACATGTTGGTTGAGTCCTAGGAGAATAGGACTCAGTATTACAAGACGCAGCCCCGCTGCTTCCTAGATCTTATACAAGGCCCAAAAATCTTTTTGAGTTTAGTAAAATATCTCTTGTAGAATAGTAAGTCTTCAAAACCATATACTCACAGTGATTATAAGCTCCTAGTCACAGACCTTGATACCAAATAACTCAACTAGCTTATAGTCGATTACCGCTCTTCTATGACATCAATAAAGTACAGACTATAACGAACTGCATTACCTTTGTCGCCATGACATGCCTGATACGTAAATATAATATTCGTCACCGATAATTGAGTTAGCATATAAGTAGCCTTTAACAAACCGGCGCCACAGGATCACTCTTTCTTTTCCGGCTCCGGGCTAAGCACAAGATAAAAGATTAAGAAAACCAATTAATGTCCGAAGTCTACAAGACAAACCTTTTGATAGAATTCTTCTTCCCCAACTGGGCCAACAAATCCTTGGGCTCTTCATGGAAAGCAGTAAGGACAATGTTGGCACCGACTTCTTCATAGGCGAAAGTTGCCTGAGCCGTATATCTCGGACAGGGCATTGTGTAAGATAACACCATCTTTTACGAGACCTCGTGGGATTTTATGCTCCCATGAATAAGCTTGGGGTGTTTTGCTCATCCTATGTGAGGTTTTAATACTTGCTATATAACAGTCGCCTTGTTAGTATATGAAAGGTTAAGAAACGGTTGTACGCCAGGATTTAGAAGAAGAAGAAGTAACAAAAGAGATGCTGGGTATTTATATTGACGAGAGGTTCCTGATTCACAGAGCGTGTCTACGGCTGAATGATTCACGGCCAACAAATTTGGTGCTGTGGAATAGCAGCCAGTTCCATTGGGATATTGCCCTTGATACACCGTGGTAAGTCGTATTGATGCTATTCTAACGTGTATTGAGGTTTATAATAGATATGCCTATCATAGGTTGTCATCGCAAAATATGTCCCGATTTGTATCTCACCGTTACACACGCCCTCTATCGTCTGGCTCTTGTAAGACACAAAAGCCTTAAAACCGTTATTCACCGTAAGTGTGGCATATAAATTCGGCTTCTATGCATAAAATAGACACGGAAGTGCAAAACAATAATGCATAGTGCAAGGGACCTTAGTGCTTTGTCATCGGGCTCCAGTCGTATTGATGACCGCAGTGGGCCTTTGTCGAATCAGAGGCTCAACACACAATTACAACAATCTAAGCATGGACCAGTCCTCAGTAAAACGTCAGACACAACTGCAGGAGGAATGACTGAGGCTGGAAAGGCACTCCTTGAAAGGCTGGAATGGTCCCCGCTGACGACCGATGGCCCGAGAGCAGCTGAACCTTGCTCCAAAAAGAGTGAGCTGAAAATATAATAACAATCTTATTTGCTACATCGGGTGAATTACTCATCCCACCGATTCATGCTATCCAACAATACTAGGCTCAGTCGACGATGATTAATTTCTACTGAAGCGAGTCGGAAGCCGAGTTTTCTCATCAGGAGACGACTATAAAACCAAGTAAACCTGCCCTACGTTCGTATCCATAGCGCCAATTCGCATTACTCTACCATCAGTTTCACACTAAGCCACCCAAGATGCAGCTGTTCAATCTCTCCGCCATTGCCCTCTTTGCTACTTCCGCTCTTGCGGCAGACTGCTTCGGTAACAGCCAGAAGGGCATCCAAGATTTCCAGGACGCATACTGGCAGGCTCGCCAGAAGATGTGCAGCAACTCTGACTGCGCTTACCAGCAGGGCTGCACCACCAAGGGATCAAAGACTATCAAGGGACTGATCTCTCTCACCGTCACTGCCGAACTGAGCCGCAAGAACACTGGAGGCAAGAAGGGTTTCAAGGATTGCTGGGTATGTAATCCCTAAATCATCACTGGTTCAATTTTGCTAACAAGGCTTGCTAGGATGCCACTGAGTATGTAATTTTGATTTTTTGTGAAGTTTATCTGACAGTCATAGGAATATCATCAATCAGTGCGTCAAGGGAACTAACCAAATGAGTGGAACCTGGGAGTACGACGGTCAGCTGTACCAGTTCAACGGCTACTATTCTTAGTCGGAGGCAGTGTGCTCGATATAATCGGGGATGAAGAAACGGGGGAGTAGTAGAAAGTAGAGTTGGGCATTTGATTGACAAGCGATGGTTGAGGCAGTTGCTGGGATGTCTTTCATTGATCTATGTACTGCGAACATATTGACTATAGGTCAACACAATATGGCTAAATGCCGGGTCACGAGAATCTTATTTCCAGCTCTGACATAAGATATCAACATAAAGATCTAGAGGTCAAGCAAAGAGTCTCTCAAATACCATAGTGGACATAAGTAACTCAATAAGCCGGGAACTGTCCATCTCTGATCCCCTTGCCATCGTCGCAAGAGCTAAATCCGCCATTCCTTTCTCCAATGTGTATATGTGTTAAGAAGAGATAGGGTAGCCCTGATCGGTCTAGCTTCCCTGACAAGGATCAGGTGTTCCATATGTATATAAGTAGAAGTGCTCCCCCCGTGCCATGACCGAAATCAAGGCTCTTTCAGCCCTCTCTAATGTGACCCTCAGCTGTGCGTGCAACAGTATGTGGTTGAGAACTACCTACATGTGGCGAGGGTACTGTTTGTGCAGCGATTGGATCGGGTCAATGCGGGAAACAGTATATCTCGACCAGTTTTTATTACGCTTCGAGTAGTTTATTAATACTTGGGGTAGTTTATTTATATTTAGGTTAAATATAGGTCCTATTAGAAGAGTGAATTTAAACATGTAAGAAAGTAAGGTATGTCATCTGAGCGTTATGTATGGGCCATTTTTATAAAAAGCCCTGGTTTTTCCTTCTCACTCTACTTTATGTATAGCACAAAGGGCATTTTTTGACACTTTTTATCCCCAGTCTGTCTTGTGTTATTTTGACCGAGTGGCTTAGATCTATCTTTCGGAATAATGTTGAACTTGCCGACCAAATGAAGGTGTCTGCGAACGAGGTGACACGACAACGGCCGACTCTTGTACCCATAATTGCCGTTCTACCCGGGTCCCTTGCAGTGAATCACCAATCAACCTATCAAATCATCTCCCGCCAGACCAAAACAGAGGCTAAAGTCTAAACTGCCGGTGAACCAAAGCCATACCGTCAGCGTATCACGGCTTTTCCCTTCAAACCAATCCCACGTCATCGCATGAGCGGAGAAGGAAGATTCCGGGTCTGACCACTTGTACCTTGATAAATAAATACACAAACGACACGCGACACCAGATTCTTTCAACTTACAAGTAAACATCGTCAATTGTTGAACATAAACCGAAAATGAACAAGACTTCTCACACTGATGAACCCTTTGAGGGCGATGACGGCTACAACCAGAGCCCTAACCCAAATTCTAGCGACTTGACTACCAACGCTGACTTCAACGGGCTTGTCAACAGTCGCACTTCTCTCCAAGGCGACTCACGTGCACTCCCAGACGCAGCGTCAAACATGTCTGGCCAGATAGTCAACGACACTGCCACTGAAACGCCCGGCCATGGAAAGGCGAAGCTGCGGCTGGCTCATCGGTCAATCGACCATGGCCAGCCCTCAGGCGGTCTGCGCTCAGCACCCGCCAACCCCCCGCCAGCACCAGCTGGTCCCGCCGACAACGGCACGCCATTTCAGCGTCTCAAAGACACCCTCGCCAAAATTGGATACTTTATTGGCCCCGGATTCATGATCTCAGTTGCGTATATCGACCCGGGCAATTACTCGACCGACATCGCTGCAGGAGCTTCCTATCGCTTTCGCCTCCTGTTCATTGTCTTGCTTTCGAATGTGTTCGCCATCTTTCTGCAGAGTTTGGCAATTAAGCTGGGGACTGTGAGTGGGCTTAATCTTGCACAGGCTTGCCGGGCGTTTCTGCCGCGGTGGTTAAATTATATCTTATATGTCTTTGCTGAGGCGGCTATCATTGCTACTGACATCGCAGAGGTAAATCGCTTGCTATTTGTTTCTTTGTGTCAAAGAAAGTGCTGACTCACTATGTACTAGGTCATTGGATTTGCGATTGCCTTGAACCTGCTGGTCCCCAAGATTCCACTGGTGGCAGGATGTGCCATTTCCATTCTCGATGTCATGGTCCTCCTCATCTTCTACCGCCCTGAAGGATCTATGAAGGGCTTACGGTACTTCGAAATGTTCATCATGTGTCTCGTCCTTGGTGTCGTTATTTGCTTCTGTATTCAGCTATCTTTGATCAAAGATACGACCCCTGGGGAAGTCTTCCAAGGTTATCTGCCATCGAAGTATCTCATCGAGTCTGAAGCGTGAGTGCTAAATCCCTCTGGCTTGTTGCTTCCGCTCTAACATCTATGCAGCATTTATCAGGCCTGTGGTATTCTCGGTGCAACGGTCATGCCTCACAGTCTGTATCTTGGATCCGGCATCGTTCAACCTCGTCTGCGTGATTACGATGAACGGAGCGCTCTGTTGCCTCGTCAAGTCACTTCAGAGCCCTCTGTTATCGATAATAGCATCGACAAAGGCTATTATGTGCCCTCTGAGAAGGCAATCAAACACTCGCTCAAGCTTTCGATTCTCGACCTGTCTATTTCTCTCTTCACATTCGCGCTCTTTGTCAACTCGGCTATCCTCATTGTTGCAGGTGCTTCGCTATATAACAATCCAAATGCTCGCGATGCAGATATCTTCGGTATTCATAAATTGCTTTCCGAGTCTATCTCACCTGCTGCCGGCACCATATTCGCCCTAGCACTGTTACTGTCAGGAGTTTCTGCTGGAATTGTTTGCACCATTGCTGGTCAGATGGTTAGCGAAGGCGCCTTAAACTGGAACGTTAAGCCATGGCTGCGCCGTCTTATAA